GCAGCCCGGCTGCGCGCAGGGTGGCAAAACGCAGCTGGAGGAGGGATGAAAATAAAACTCAGCCAAGAGAGTGCGTGGGCTTCACACTGATTAAAGAGCGATTCTGAAACTCTTGTGAGCTTAGGGGAGAAAGAACAGCTTTTATACGCTGAAAATATTGTTTAGGTTAAGAGGCAGAAAATGATAACTTTGTTATGATCTTTTACATAAGAAATGCTGGTATGTAGCTGCTTGTAGCAGTTCTAAAAACACAACTGTGCTGCTCAGAAAAAGCATCTTACAGCCTACCCGTGATCTGTGATGTGCCATAATTGGTTGCACATGTCTTTTTTCTTCTTTTTTTTTTTTTTCCAGAAGTGAATTCTTTCTACAGCGTCCTATTTCAGTCTCACACATGCTACAGGGGAATTTTGGGAGTTTCAGCTTAAGAAGCTGGAGAATATAAATATCATCCCAAACACCACATGCCAGAGTAATGTTATTTATTCTCTTGTTAGTCTTACAAGCTAGAAACTACAATCTCCTCCCTTCTCTGTTTTGTACATGGGGAGTTTGAGCACAAAGGAGACTGAAAACTATCCAAGAATGTACAACAAATCTGTAATTTGATCTCAGGTACCCTGAATCTTCATTTAGTAGTCTCTTCACTGGCCCACTTATGTTTAGGAGCAGAGTAAAATGTTGCCAGTACGAGTATCTGAATGTAAATATCAGGCACCAGCAAAACATGTGGTCTGCTTTAATGTTACGTTCAGGAATATGTAACTTGCTTAGGCACTTGCATGCCTAGGAATGGATGCAAGGGTAAGGAGGAGAGGATACACAGGGAGGCAACTCATACATTTCTACTCTGTTTGGGGAGAACAAGCCTTGCACCACTTTATGCATCTCCATTTCATGCAAATCAGGAAAGGTTGTTTCTGCCTTCGATTCAGACAACTCTGCTCATGGAGAAAGCATATTCGAGGATGAGGACAGAGCAGTATTCATTAATCAGCTAAGCCACATTCTTTGTGATGCCACTGGGCTTCCGCTCTTGCAAATTGTTTCCATGTGTGCTGTGGCTAACTCAGGTCTGATTGTAGGGAGGCAAAAACAAAACATAGCTTAGAAAGCTTGCTTTCAGCTCACAGAAATGTAATCACCATTTCAAATACATAAGGAGCAAGACCCCACAACCTTTTGTCTCTGGCCTATTTTAGAGCATAGGGTCTGAACTGCAGATGAAATCATGAAAGCTAATTTATCTTACATTGATTGTAGTCAGCTTTTTCTGTATGGTTGACGTGTCTCCAGATGCATCTGACCAGCGGTGTAGCTCTTCCTTTGCAGAATGGAGCCAGTCTGTGAATTCATGCACAGCATCAAGGTATAGCAAATGATCCTTCACAATATCTTCCACTTTCCTCATTTTCTCCTGTCAATCAAATGAAGAAAAAAAGACCATTAAAGTGCTTAAATAACTGTCTTGGCTTTAAGCATGCAGTGGTATAGAGTGCTGGTCTGACCCTACAGCATCCATCTGAATGTTGAATAGAGCACAGCTTGTAGCAGCAGAACACAGTGCTACACTGTACAAGGTGTGGTTTAGGTTGTTGGTCTGGGCAGGTGTGTTCTGCTGGAGCAAAAGATGAAGAAGCCTTCTGAAAATGTATGCAAAAATGTACTTTAACACATCCATTAACACAAAATGTATCATTTAATAGATGCCAAAGGTGCAGCTGTGCAACTCTGGCATGCTTTTTCCAATACCCCCTGGAGAGCATCCTACAGATCACCCATGAGTCCTCATAGGGAGCAGCATGCTGCCAGAAACACAGCTCTTATTTAGAAGCACCAAGTCTGTATAAATACTAAGCAGAGTCAGAGAGATGCCCCATACGAAGACCACGAAGGAGGACTTCTGCTGTTCAAAAGTGCAAAACGTTCTTACAGTGCTGAGTCCTATTTTAACCATCAGATCAGAAGTGGTGGCCGTCCCCAGCCACCTGCCTTGCAGCCCTGGAGGACGCTTTCCCTGACACAGACATACGACAGCTTCATGGCTCCATCTTAGCTTTTTAATGTAAGCTTAAACTGGGGCCAGCTTACCTTACTATGAAAAGGTGAAATAGAGCACTGGTCTAGATTTGCCTTTGGTCTGACTGAGTAGATTTGTTCTTACATTCTTGTGAGCTAACAGTCAGGAATGTTTATCAAAACTAACCAAAAGGGAACTGAGCTAATCAAACAGCTTTCTACTCCTGTGTGGATACTCTAATCTAGGTCTAAGTTCCCTTAAACCAGTTTCAAACTAAAACACTTGTGAGTTAAACTTCATTTATTTTTAATTTTTAATAACTCAACATTCAACTAATACTTTTAAAAATTAAGTTAAATTAATAAGCCCTACTGTTCCCTCTGAAAACAATTATCAAATTTTCTCAGAACATGTCAGACCAACTAGAAAATGGATACTAAACAAAGATGACATAAAGTAAATCCTCAAGGTTTTTACATCTTAATGCATTTTATGCAACAACAGAGTAATAAAATGTCCACATGTGCCTGACTCTAAACCAAATAGATAGCTTCATAGTGAAACAAAAGAGCCTCAGGAAAGGCAACCACATGTTCCTGTTTACTTTGCTCACACTAAAACATAGCTGCAGTAGAGGGGGAGAGTGGAGGTAAAGTACAACTTCATCTGGTCTCTTCCAGTGGCAATGGCTTCTACCAGTTGCAGTCAGTGCTGTTCTCTCCCCAGGGAAAGACTGCAAAGTTGTCCTTCTTGATTAAGAAGTTAAGTTTATAGATGCATATTGATTTTAGGAGAACAAGGCCATGCTCACTTGTGATACTCTTTTCACACAAGTTTAAAGGGATTGTATTGATTCAGTAATCATTGTATTGCTCCAGACTTAACACAACTGAAAGAAGTAGAGTTCTATGAGTGTAAAACTGCCCTGATTCTCTAGAAAGCAGGTTCATAGCTTACTATATCCATTAAAAAAAAAAGAGAGCAGAAGTTCATCACAAAAACAAGAGTGTGTGAATAGATGGTAATTACAGACTAGATACATGTGAGAGGGCTACAATATCTATGGTCTATGTTTAAAGCAATGACAATAATAGTATATCTCGTCCTGCAAATAAAAATAATAATCCAAACCCAAACTGCATGATTCCACGAGACTTCCCTTTATAAAGTTTAGCGAGAAAAATGCAGATTTTTACTAAAGAAGTAAATTTATGTGCCCTAGATTTAACTTTTTTCCTAACAGATTACTTATTAGATCTTCCACTCATTTCCTACTTTGGTACCCTTTTTTTATACAGACTATTGATTAATCACCTACAGGCCATCAGCTCTATTCTCAATACATGCAAACTCGAATCACACTTCCATCAGATTACTGAATTTATACACAGCGTTTACTTCAATCTCACATTAGCTCTATGTTATTATGTGGCCACTTCCTGATGCAAACTTCCCCTTTAGCTGAGAAGGTAGAGACTGTAACTCAGAGCTAGTGTCACTGTCACAATTTGGTTGGCAGAAAGCCTCAGTGAGCTCACCTATCTTTCCTTAGAAGCCAAACAGAATACCTGTGTAGCATGTGCAGTAGCTTAATGGCTTGAAACACCACAAAATATGGGCATGTATCTTTCTGACAATAGGATTTCTCTTTCTGACAATATGTTTTCTGCTCAGGGAGATGTTTTACTCTTCCCTTTCTAGGTAAAAAAAAGGTGCTAGGAATGAATGAAAAATAATTAGATGAAAATAAATCTGGAAGAACATCTGAAATATTGTTGTATATATGAAAGTAGGAATAAAATACATGCCCTTCACTCTTCAAAAATCATAACCATACCAATCACAATTCCCAACAGCTTTTTTGCATTCCAGTTACTTTTAGTAAACTACATCCAACTTTTTTGTTAGACTCAGCCACGACAAAAGGCAAGACTATTCAAACACAGTCAATCCTTTGGTTACTAAAACATTATGAAAATCAAAATTTTAGCCTTATATACAGATGTCTAAACTTTTTACTTGAAATGGAGGCCTTTGCTTTTATCTTACCTTGGCCACGGTGGTGATGTCATTAAACTGTATTTTTAGTTCTTCTCGAGCTGCTTCTCCAAAAGAAGCATCCTCTGTTTTTTCATACAGTTCCACAGCTTTTTCAATGAGTTGCTGTAAATCACCAGAGTGATCCTCTATCTCAGAAACAATAGCCTGGAAGTGGTCCAGCTGAGCAAACTTCTCCTTCAGACCAATCTGTGGTTCTAAAGGCTGTTCCACTTTGTGATCCAGTTTCTCTAACCACTGTTCCAGCTGGTTTTTCCTTTCCAGATATTCATTCCACTGGCTAATGAGAGACTCCAGGCAGCTTACATTAAAAGAAACATACAGAGTACAGATGAGAACTTTTGAAAGGTCTGGAAAAAAAGAACCTGCTTATACCTTAATTGTTACACTGTCTGTAGCCATGTATAATATGTTTAGAATATGCTTTTTCCCCCATCTTGCTTTATTTTTCCATCCAAGCTAGAATTTCTGTGTTCTTTGGGCTACTACATATAACCTGATACAACTGCTTCCCTATCACAGGTTACATGAGCAATCTGTCTGTCTCATCCTAATGAAAAGCACATTTCAGTGTCTGTCCAGCAAAGTAAAGCACAGAGCATTACTGGTGTTCTTTATGAGCAGAGTACTACAATGTACAGCAGCCTCTGAAACTACTGACAATTAAGAGGTATTCTGGCAAGTTTTGGAAGAACAAATCAATTATACATATTCCCATTTACAATTTATAAGAAACACTCTCTTCTGTTATATATTGCTCCTCCTAGTAGATCACCAGATTTCTCTGGGATTTGTGTTGAAGAATGTAATTCTCATTCCACTAGACTTAATAATAGACATGAGTGTAGTAAGGATTTCATTCAAAATGTAATGGTCTAGCCCAGTCAAAATAATATTTTATGACAATAAATGTCTGAAATTAGAGCGAAAACAAAGGCAGCCCATTATAATTTTCTACATATAATTGTATTAAAATTTTGGAATAAGTAAGAAAGTGGCACCACTTTCAGTTGAAAAACTCCAATTTACCTATCTCCTGGCTCTCATAATTGACGGCTGATATTTAGGACCCAGATACCCTAGCACTTGGATTATCTACAATACAGTTCTATGACCTTTCTGATGCAGATCTATCAGTCTTCTGGTATAGGGAAAACTGTGATTTCATTAGAGAGCTAAGGAAGTAGGATCATGCAGAAGTTCACCAAGGGCCCATTTCTATCCAGTAATCACTGGGATGTTGGAACAGAGAGTTCTTGTAAAACGCGCAGATGAAAGCAACCGGAGACTGGCTGCAGCTAGTTTGGATGACAGGATTTAAATGTCAGATGTTTTTAGAAGAAATTTTTAAAAGATGGAATTTGATGATGAAAATAATGCTTTACTTACTTAGGAAGGAGAAATCAGATATACAAATACAAAATTGGGGATAACTGCTTAGGCTTAGTACTGTGGAAAAGGATTTGGAGATAGTAGAGGATAAAGATGTAAACAAAATTCAAGAATATGATACTATTGCAAAGGAAGAAAACTCTCATTCTGGGGTGGATTAAGAAGACTGTTGTATGAAGGAAATGGAAAGTACTGATAGTCTACTCAGAATTAATAAGGTCTAAAATACAGTAAGAAGTCAGCCAGTTTCAGTTATTTTCTGTTAAGAAAAATGTAGACAAACTAATGATAGTCTACACTTTACTGAAAAAGAAACAAGGATGAAAGAGGTCCAGAAAGTATTAGTACGAAGAAACTAAGAAACTGTCTAAACAGAGATGATGGAGGACTTCAAATACATAAAGTTGTCTCATACAGGCAATAAGAAAAACTTTCCATTTCTACTGAGGTTAAGATAAGAAATCAGCTTAATTTGCAAGAAAGATTATTTGGAGATATTAGGATTTTTTTTTAATTAAAAAACATAATGAAAGACAGAATTGAGAAACCTTTCTAGAGTTTTGTAAAGAAAAGGTAGATAAATATGTCAAATGTTCTTGGTCCTGCCCAAGCACAGGTTCAATAACATAGCAATCTTTTTCTCTGTATGAATTTGTATGATTTCTATGTATTTTTAAATTACAATCAAGTACCATCTCATATGAAATTTGATTCATCTGATAGGGTCAACTTATCATTTTTATAGGAAGATGTGTTTTTTTCAGGCAATTTTGATTCTCTCCAATGATGCAACTTTCCCCTCGCATACCAGTAATGAATGAATGGACTTCTATGTGCTGTAGGGTACCACTCTTTATAAGCAAGATGGCAGGGTCTGAACTGTGTTTTCCAGGGAGTTTTACCTCTGCCAGTTCACTGAGGTGCTGGTGATGTCATTCCATACATCCCTCAGTGTCTGTAGCTCGGTTTGTATCATCTTTTGTCCTTCCTCATTGCTGCTTCTAAGTGCTTGTTCTCCTTTGCCAATGGCCATGTTCAGCTTAACTTCACCATCACCTTTGAGTAAGAGGATCTCCTATGAGGCAAAATAAGTCAAAATATCAAATGCAACCTCCTGAGAGGTGAAAGCTGTTATTCTTTCAACAGTGGACACCATCTTCTCTGAGCTCATTCTTCCTTGACAGCCATGCCCAGAACGAATTCGTAGGCACCTTTTCTTATAAGTGCCCGTCCCTTGCTTTGTGCAAGTGATCCAGCATTTTTTTCCCACAGCCATACAGGTATTTCACTGCATTGGTCATCCTAAGGTATTGCTCACATTGCAGTAGATAATGAGTAGGTCAAGCACTGCACAGAAAGATAGCACCACATAGGTAGAAGAAATTTCAAGAAACCCCATGACAGGATTGCTTACACTGATGACCTTCCTAAGAGGTCTTGAACTAAACTGTTCCTGAAGACCTCCTGTGACAGACACATCACAGCCTCTCTGTGTCAATTATTCCAAGGCTTCCCCTCCACTAGAAAGCTTTTTTGGACCTGACTACACATTTTCATAGTTTACTATTCTTTATTAAATGTAATACCTGGCACCTATCTCCATTAAATTGCATCCTGTTTTTCATACTGAACCTCCCAATTTTCCAAGAACACCTTAAATTCTAATCCTCTCCTTCATAACCATAAAAAGAGTAAGATGTAAAAACATTCCTTTTCCACTGATGTGGCCCACATCCAATATTAACCTTGATGTGTAATCTCTAGTTTTATCCTTCTTTACCTGAATTTGTGTCAATCGTCTCTCTAATGTGGCTTTGCTACCAACAGTGCTCTCTGATGATGCCAGTTTATCTTGAACCTCTTTCACCCATGACCACATAGTCTGCAATGCCTCTTCCAAAGTGAGATGCTCTTGGAGTGCAAGCTGGCACGTTCGTAGCTTCTCCTTGACAGTTTTGACCATGTTTTGATAATTGGTGAGATGTTGAGAGGCCAGGCGCACTTCCATCCCTGCACCGTGGCCTTCTTCGTTTAAAGACTGTGCCATTTGAGACAGCTTATCAAAAGATTCCCTGAAAGAAAATATCGAGGCTGAAAATCAGTTTCAGAAAGCATATGATATTGTTATTGCAACTATCGGAAATTATGAAGGTTGTTGCCATAATCACCTACTCCACCAGTGACAGAGTTTATAGCTAACAGAAAAATTAGCTGGGAGAAACTGAATGGAAATATAAGCAGTGCATATTGATTAATATCTTTACTTGTATACAGTGCCATTTCTTACAGATTTTGGTGTTCAAAATGATCACACTGAAATCCTTGTATTGCACATCTGAATTAAAAGCTGACTTGATTTTCTCTTCAGCTGTCAGTCATTCTAGTTCTATATGAACTGCTACCTTTTTGTACTTGTCAAAGCTTCTGAGAATTTTATAGTTTTTGACAGGTACAAAGGCATGATGGAAAGGTCAGGCCATTTGTCCAGGATTAGAAACTGATTCTGGGGTTCAGTACAAGGGTCAGTAAAAGGGATTAAAACTCTGGGTTTATACAACCTCAGTTAATCTCAGTCTGCTGGATCACCCTTCCTGATACCCTGTGATTACAGGGAATTTACATCAGACCAAAATGTCTTGCATCAGTCTCAAGGGAATAGGTAGAGACTGGGTGTTTCCTTTTAGCGTGCTGTGAGGCTTGAACAACGGACTACTATTTCTGTTCTATCTTCACCAATCTAATAATAAAAAAAAGAGTTTGAAAAACCACAGTGTACTAAAAAAGGGAATTACTTCATCCTCTGTTGGCTAATTCTGAATTCTAGAAAGATTTCACAGCCAATGTGGATGTTATTTGAGCTCCTTTCTAAAGTCAGCTATATGGGAAAGTGGATTCTGCTAACCTGGTTGGATCTGAGTTTTGCAGGACAAAAAAAAAATTTAAAATATATATAATGATAAATGTAATTTTTACTATTGCTTTTACAAGCTATATTTTTAAGATTTATTTTTACAATCAGTATTTTAAAGATTTTTTTTTAAGATTATATTTTTCAGTTTCCATTTATTAATGAAGTAATATCAGCTTTTCTTAATGAGAAATATATCAGCATCAAATTCTGGAGTTGCCTTCAAATTCCAATTTCCTTAAAACTGGAAGTATCTGGATACAGCCTCTTTTCACAGAGTATGTCACAACACCTTTCTCCATCTTTCACAAACACACTTCAGCCCAACGGTTTGGTTTCACTGTTGCTTTAGCAGAGGAAACAGTGAGAGTATTTTAGGAAAAAGTATTTCATACTACCTTGAATTCAGTAACTCTTCCAGGAACTTTTCCACTTTCTGTACCTCCTTTTTCTTCTCAGGAATAAGCTGTTTGCTCTCTCCTAGTGATTCTGCGCTTATTCTTTCTTCCATGGCATGTATCCACAGACCAAGTTTCTTGTGCTGATCTTCAAAGCTACCGAAAAGATAAATACTCCCTTAAAAATATTTCTCAGGTGGAGTATAGTTAGTAAGAAGTTAACTCAGTTCTTTCAATATCCACAAAACCAGGAAAATAAAGCTAGGCATCAATTTCATGCTTCAAAAATAAGAGTTGTACACAAAACATAATTCCACAGTGACTACTAATCTAAAAATATTCAGCAACTCTCTAAAAATGTTCAGCAAATTCATGGGAACTACAGTGAAAAAAGAAGCCTCCAAAATTTAAAGTGACAGTGCTTTAATTTATTACTATATTCAATAAAGGCAGAAAAAAAGAGAAAGCTTTTCCCAAATTCTTATAATGATTTAACCTAAGATTAAAAAATAGGTAAAAATGTGCTTTTAGTCATGTATTTCTCAAATGTTGTGCTTTCAATTTCTCAAACATACCATAACCGGAATCTGGAGCACTCAGAACTCAAAACAAGTTCTGGTCCTAGGTTTGAAAACCTTTTCCTTACATGAAGGCACACCATCTCATCTTGCTGTTTTACCCATTATTGCTACACTAACTTGCTTACACTAACTACGTACATAACTGCTACACTAATGTTCCTTTCAATTAGCAACATTTCTGAATCTAGTTATACCTAAAAATGTTTAACTCCCCAAATTCCAGCCCTAAGTAATAATTTAAGAGTGTTTTCTTTTTAGCTCCTTAGGAAATGTGTCTAACTGGAATGAGGAAGGACAGACAGATGCATGCTGTGTAAAAAGCATAATATCTTCAAATCCTGGAGCAGAACTTGAAAATTCATCACATCTTTTCCTTCCAGGAAGTTGCATTTAAATTACTGAGATCCTAATGGCTGATCTGGGATTGCATGAACTACACAGATCTTCCGCATAGATGATCCTGACCTTCCATTCTTTGACCAAATTAATACCCTTGGAGCAAGACTTGTTGCTTTGTTTTTAGCAGAGAACTTAATTTTCTCTTAAAAATCTCCAAAGGAAAAAAGCAAACAGGACTTAGAGAGGTAGTGGAGGCCCCATCCCTGGAAACATTCAAGGCCAGGTTGGATGGGGCTCTGAGCAACCTGATCTAGTTAGCGGTGTCCCTGCTCACTGCAGGGGGGTTGGACTAGACGACCTCTAGGGGTGCCTTTCAACCCAAAACATTCTATGATTCTATGATTCTATGACTAGAATAACTGGAAATAATTTCAAATTGTGCCCTGTCTTTCTGCAGCTGGACAATTTCATGCAGTCCATCTGTGACTACTGGTATTACTCACCTTCCCAGGTCTGAGGCACAAGCTTCCAGGGCCGCCTTATCATTCAGACACTTGTTGAGGAATTCCTGGAAGTTCTGATTAGACTTCTCTATTTGCTCCTGAATATGGCTCACAACTGGCTTGGGTAAGCAAGCATACAAACTTTCTCCTTCCTTGCAGGCACCATCTAACTTTTTCTGTCCCTCACTAACAGAATCCAGCACACTCTGTGTAATGGAAGAATAGAGTTTAAACATGCAATATTTAATAACTAAAGATAAGCAATATTTCTATTAGAAGTGGTCAGGTTTCCCCAACAAGATGAAAGCCATGTCTAGTTATGGAAAAAAAATCTAAGCAGACAGTTCATATAAAATTTTATTAAGTGGTACTATGATCCAGACAGCTCAGTTTTCCTATTTGGTCCCAAGGTAGTCCTGTCTTTCTCTGGATAATTTAGTCATGTCCTGAAGATGTTCTACATTTCAGGAATTAGGGCTGTTTGCAGTAGGTGTCTGCTATTGGTGTTCTGTCCCATCAAAAACCTACACAGATAAACTTTGACATCGCTGTTAATCTGAAGGACTGAATAAGCAATAATTTAAGGAAAGGTGGGAAAAGGAAAAGAAGAGAAAGAAGGCCAAAAAAAAAAAAAATATTAAAAAACAGAAACAAGAATATTTTAGCTACACATAAACCTTGCAGAAATGAAATTCTGATCTTTTGGAACAGTGAATATAGTTTCCGCTCTATTCACTCTACAGTACATATTGCTGTCTTGAACCATTCTCACATTACTTTTTTGGAAACAAAAACAATAAATATGATGGCATCTACAAATTACTTTAGCGATATAATTGGATACATATAGTTAAATTCCTAATTACTATTTTTTTAAATTTGTTCACTATACCTGCAAGTCACGTAGTTTTGCCTCTATGGCTTTGCTGTCTCCAGACCTGTCAGATGATTCTTTTACTGCAGCCTTCACACCAGAAAACCATTCCTGGAATTCTTGCATAGAATCTTATTTGATAAAAAAGTATAGAGAAGATAATATTTTTTATAAGAAGAGGTATTATCCACAATACTATACAGCTGTCTTGCTCAATTCTTCAGGAACAGTGTGTAGAAGCTAACAGGATGAATTTCATTGCCTTGAACGACCTTGGGCACTGGGATTAGTTTCAAAAAAAGTTAGATGCTTCAACTGTAAACATCTAAATTTGAACAGTCACACTAGGCTCCCCTTTATAGTCAATGGGAAAAACCAGGCATTTTCAGTCTATGATATATCCCGATTTAACGTTAGATAATATCTAGAGTAATATCTTAACATATAAGATTAAAAATTGCCTACTTCTCTCTGTTGACTATCCAGGGAGCCCAGGACATACTTCAGATGGGGACTTTTAAATTATAAACATCTCCATTTGTGTAAATACATCTCTTTACAGGAAAAACGCAATGTATGCAGTAGAGATGTATACTAAAAGTGAAGAAAGGTGGACTGAGCTTGCCTTTCATGAATATTACATTGAATTCTCTTTTTGTAAAATGCTTTGTTTCACAGTACTTATCAAGTGAACATTTGGTAACAGGACTTTTTGAAAGGCAAAAATAAAGTTGTAATTGCAAGTGACATCACTGGAAACTCTGGCAGACTCCAGAGTGATTCACGGCTGTGGGCTAACGGCTCATATTAACAGGCCTGAAGACTCACGGAAGAAATGTTTTTCCAAGGACTCTTGCATGCTGGCCTGTGTTCTGGAACAGAGGTGATTCACAGCTTCATATTTCTTTAATAACGAAGTGACAGTGCCACCAAGAGTTTCCAGCTCTACAGAATGGTATTTGCGACACAGGCTGTTGAGGTTCTCACGGGTTGAGTCAATGCTGCTCTTCTGAAGCTGAAGGTCTTTCTGTGTTTCCTGAAAATGAAGTTACAACACAAACATGACATTTGTGAAGAAACAAAAGAGCCCTCTCTTTTCCTCAAGCATTCGTGCTCCTCCCATATGCTTTTCCCTCCTGTGTTCTTTTGCAAGCCCTAGACACAATGAAGGGAAGAAGTACTGGATCACATTCCCTGAATTTTCCAAGTGAGATGAATCTACAAAACTGAAGAGCAATCACAGAAATGTGAAAAATGCTGTTTCTCATGGTTTACTACTTTATTAAAAAACAATAAATAAAATTCAAGGCATATTGAATAGCAATAGTTATTTTTAGCAAAGTCTGAGGGTGCATGTGAGATGCAGTATGACACTGGTATTTGGTGTGACTTCCGAGTGAAAAGGAGTTTTCATCTGATGAGAAAGGAACATTTTTTTGAAAATTAAATTTGAATTGGCTAGTATATCAACATTAACATGTGCTCAGGCTGAAAAAATCTCCACATGGTTTGTCATGTTGTGATGTACATAACTTTACCAATCAAGAGAGCTCTAGGATGTAGATGGAAGAATTGCTAAATATGAGGATTGAGGAGGATTTCTGAGTTAGAAGTTTGCGTTAAAAATTAGTTCAGTCCAGGATCTTTTACTGTGATGAGTTATAAGTTTATAACTTATATTGCAAGGGAGTCAGTGGACTTGTAAACATGCTGGAGTAATGACTGAAGACTTCAATGTAACAAAACCTGTTCTTGTCACAAAAAAAGACCATATTATTAATTATAATTTTCTGAAAGGTTTGTATAAGGTTAATAGATCAGAACTTTTGTTCATTGGTGGAACTTCTTAAAGAGTATCACTATTGTTTGCTAATATTCTAGCAGTTGTGCAGGTGCTATAGATTATTTCTCAAATGGAAATCAAGTATAATGCTCAGCAAAAACTCTGATAAAAAACCCCAAAGATCACTGCATAAGAAAAAGCATATTCATTTTCTTCAGCACTGACCTTCACTTTATTCAGAGCTTTGGGATCCAGGCTGTGTGCACAGCTTAACAGTGTCTCTTCCACTTCTGTTAACCAGTCTGTCATCTGATCAATAAACTTCTGTAACTGCATCTTCTGAGTACTGAAATCTTTCAGTGTCTCTTTTGCTGTCTCTGACATTTCTTTGGCATGTTCCAACTTCTGCCTCAAATCTGATTCTATAAACTAAAATCAAAATGTTATGTATTAAAGCATTTAAAGAAAACATTTATTATGGTGAATGTTTCTTGAAAAAAATGGAAGGTAGGGAAGTCACACACAGAAATCATTTTGTTCTCTTTACATCTCTAACTAAAGACACTCACATAAATAAAAAATGTCAACCATTCAGGATCAAGTCTTAGATATACAGTAAACCAAAGAAGGGATACTATCTTATAAAAAGCCAGATCACAAACTGTTGAAGTTATTATCTGCTTCTAAAAAAGTAAACTGTTGATCTTTTTCCTTTACTAATTTGCCATATATACAGAATGTGACCTAAACACAGCTAGCTCCATAAAAAGAAATATCAATTGGTGAGACTTAAGAGCACTGAGGCTTTAAGTATCTCAGGATAAATTTGAAGAAAATACAAAAAAAAGTTAGAATATTGCCCATTAACCTGTTCAAAGACAGCAATATGTGAAATTATAGTACATGTTAGCTGTGCACATATTACTAATAAAAAGTAAATAGAATCAGTCATAATAGGGTAATATTTATAAATGAGAAATTACTGAAAATTCTATTAAGGAATCTTATCTTAGAATATGAGCTGATCATACTGTAGCTTACTTATTTAGCATTTGAATATTGGCAAATAATTAGGGGATTTAAGCTTAGTTTGTGAAACTTTATTTTCAAATTTGCATTTATATATCAACCACAATTATTTCATTGTATTGATTTAAATTTTTTATTGTATTTATCATATTTAGTAGTTGGAAATAGGTGTGTGTTGGTTAACAGTGATATTCTGCAAAATAATTTGTTCTAAGTTTAGCTCTATAAGCAGACAGTTATTTATTATGAAATATATGATTAAACCTGAATTTTCTGAATGTCTCACATGAAGTAAACAATCTGGGAGAACATAAGCATTTCCATATAGTTTGCACATTTTTATACTACAGGGTTTTTGACCCATAGCTGAGTGGTAATTAGGTGTATGGTCACAGCAAAATGTGGACAAGACCTGAGTGTTATACTAAGTTCTGTTAAAATCTGATAAATGGCTTTGAAATAAATAACTATCAAGATATTTCCCTGCCTATGGAAATCACAGAAGCCAGGTTATCCTTTAAAACTTCTGACACTGAATGTGAATAATCTCACACAACAATTTCAATTTGAAATCAAACATCTAAACCAGTCATACTTTGGTTTTGCATCTTCCTTAGAACATAAAAAATAAGGACCCAGCCAATAGTAAAAGTCAACATCTCACCTTCAGTGTTCATATTTTACCCCTCTCTTGTAACAGCTAGTTCAGGGCACTAAAGAATACTTTTGGTTTGATAAAGCAAATGCACGTATTTTACTGCATTATAATTAAAGAGGCAAACTGTGGATGCACTCACATAGGATGAGGCTTAATGTTGTGCAGTGCAGAGAATATCATCGGTCTCATATCTGATCAGCTACTTTACAAACTATTTACTCTATTTTGTTTTGGTAAAAAGTACTTTTACAACTCTAATATTCAAATACTTTATGGCATGATTTATTTAGAAAAAGGCAAAGTTAACTGAAGAAATATGAACAAAGAATAGATGTGATATATATAAATAATGATATATCTGTCACCTTGAAAGAAAAAGGCAGTACAGGAGAGACAGAAATTTCAGGAGGAGTTTCTTCTTAGTCATTTGAGCACAGCCTGTGATTGCCAATATCTTTATTTTACCTGGAGATCTGCAGGAGGCTCTTGACTATGGGTGAGTTCTTTGAGTTCTGAAATTTTGGAACTAAGCTGCTCCAACTTCAGTTCTTGATCCTTGACTTCAGACTGTAAAAGAGATGTGGTCAAAATTTCATATCAAACTACAAGAAGGTTTTAGACTTTCAGAAGGATGCTCCATCAATTGCAAAACCAAAAGAAAATGTAAACAAAGTTTAGCAACCAGAGAGAAAACAGTTGTTCTGTTAGTTTTATTCTCTAAAAATCTCCCATCTCTTTTCCTTTATTAGACTCAGTTCAGAGATTTTTTTCCCCTCCATTAAAATAACCACATACATTTTTAGCATTTAAAATGCACTAACAGCTTTAGTTTCTTAAAGTGGCTGAATAAAGATGGGAATGTCATTGTTTACTCGACTGGAAAAATCTGCTGTGGTTGTTAGGTTTGACTTAATGGCATGCAGAGCATAATACATGTGCTCTCTGGTTTTTATTACAAGGAAGTGAGCTCTTGGAAAAAAATTAGACACAGAAATAAATTTTAACCTCAAAGGGGAATTAAAAAATGCTGCTATATACGCATTGACATATCTGGACCTTGTATTTACTGTGGTCATGTAGATCCAAGTTATAAAGAAATATTCTACTTATTAAAAAATAATAGCAAAGTGAAAGAGAAAACCATAATTTGTATAATTGTAGTTCTGAAGTATTAGGCAAGTAATTGGTGTGTGCATCCTATTACTCAAACTTTCTTTTCTAAAAAATTCAAACAGATCACTCCAGTTAAAAAATTGGACAGTGGATTTCAGGATTAAATCGCTGCACTTAACATCTGCCCTGAATGGGAGAAGTTCAGGTGGGCCCAGAATAATCCTCAGGGGGCTTTTTGTGCTAGGGAGGATATAATATTAGGTGACTGATCAAGAAAGGGACCACTGCTATGGACCATATAAAAGCTAGACTGATTATTTCTGTCAATGCTCATCTATTTCTGACTGCTGAAATAGCAGGACCCTTCTGTCAGTGAATTGCCTTTCTTCTTGCCTTTGCAAAAGAAAGTGCAAAAAAAGTATTATGGACTACGCATTCTGTGACTTCAAATGTACACACAGTGCTCAAGTCTTCTGCTATTCTGGCCCTCCTGTGAATCAGGTACACCTGTGGTTTGGGTACTGGCTGCTCTTGTTCCACATCAGTTTTAATAGTGATGAATTTAGGTGGTCTGATTACTATACTAATCAGAAAGACATGAGATAAAGCTTGTCTGACCAAAATACAGATCTAGCACCATTTCATATTCTATCATACTACTTGTATATGTTCACTGTGCATCTTCTTAAGGACATAATTTATTTCAAATGAAGTAGAGTATGGCTCATTCTATGGTTAATCTGCTGCATATTTTAAGCCAATAGAGGCAGAATGCGCCGTGAACACTGGCTAGATTTCTAGAACAGTTTAATGCTATCCAGAAAAGAAAGACATCACCTTATTAAAACTGTTAGAGCTTGACATTAAAATTTGCCCTCCAGTCCTGCATATCTTTTTTATTGTCTGAAGAATCTACCTTCTTAGATGAGATTTGAGAAATTACTACTTTTTTCCCTAACTTCAGTTGAAGTTGTCTAAAATCTCCATCAGTTTATACTGAAACAGTTCAGTCCAATGCCATGCTTTTTGAGATTTTTGTCCTTGTAAGAACACATTGTCAATGTATTGCGAGAGCCAAAATAACTGCAGAGATTATCTTTAGTAAGAGACGTGCCATTCTTGTTTCTGTCAGAAGCAAACAGCTTCAATAAAGGTCTGGAACGCTGTCAGCTAGCTGTTGGGTTAGCGGTACCACTGGTTGAATGGGGGACATGGTGGTCTACAACAGCACAGCCTTATCACTTGAGATTTTGATCCAGAACTTTTTTATCACTGATTTATGGGTAAGCACCTGGAAGTCTTTCAGGAGGACCTCCATTCTCTGACTGTTACTCAAGTTGCTGATGCCTTCATTCAGTTGAGAAATGCACTTATTGCACCATCCATCCATTTCATCTCCAGTTTTTAGGATGTCATCCCATAGAGACAGGCTTACACCCAGCCGGTCGATGTTGTCTTCAATCCTTTCAGACACCTTTTAGGAGAGGAGAATGTATAAATGTCATTCACAAACTAATTTTAGATTTCTTTACTTGCAGCCAGTTCTAAGACAACTGCAACATAAATAATTAGTAAGCCTAGGCAAAATAATTTTCTTAGACTTAGGTCTAATTTCTGAATTCTAATTTCAATTTAGTTAGATCATAAAATTAACAAAAATGGGTTTTAGGCTGTTTCTAAAAATTTGTGTATTTTTGAACTGGAAAGGAGTTTTGCGTTCAAATAAACTTTATCTTTAAAAACAGCTGCATTTATCTTTCTTATGTAATGTAGGAATTTTCTAATAAAGCAGCACAAATATGAAAATGTAAAATATTAACTTTTGTATTATGTTTCTCTGCTATAATGTTGTCTTTATCATATTCATGCTTTTATGGTGTAACAATACGATTTACTGCCTAATTTATTCAGTCCAATTTGCTTCAGTTAAGTAATACTGGCATACATTAGGTGAGAGTACAATCCAAATTTATACTCAGAAGTGTGCACTGAGCAAATTTATACTAGTAATATTCATACATTATTATAAGACATCGTTTTAAATATATCAAATGGATATCACAACTTTGTATGTACAAGGGATGCCAAATCCCTATGGATTGACCCTTTGAGACATACTTCAAAGTAAACTTTGCTAAATAATTGCACTCTAAGATCCTAAGAAAATACTAGTACTGTAGCCTTAGCCCAAATTCAGCGTATAAACACCAGACTCTTACATCAAGCCATTTGTCCACTGTACAGTTCATATCTGTTTTTAACGCAGTGGAGTCGCAGTTACGCACTCTTTTCAATTCTGCTAACAAATGTTTTCCTTTATTGGTGAAGGTGTCCAGGTCTTTTTGTTTATCACTCAGATCATTCTTGGCAGCTTCATGCTGTGAACATAAATATTTACTTGTTTAATGGAGCCTTGAAGAAAGAAAGAAAGATCCAGTTCTCCAGGTATCCGTTCCTAGCCCTGTGGTATATGTTATGTATTTGGTAATTCTCATTCAGCACACCATCTAATATTTAGCTACGCCACAAAATACAGAGCGACTGACATGGTTTTCTCATGAGCATAATCAAATAGTATGATTGTTCTTATAAATAAAGCACACAAGTGGGAATAATAAATTCCTAATTTTCCCCACTTGGTAACCAGCTGTCTTTGGGACTTAAGGCAATTTTTTAATTATTATTCATTTTATTCTTCAGACTCTACATATCTAAAATTGAATAATAAGAACCCATCATTGACTAACTAGTATCTACAATCAGTTCTGGAATTACAGCAGGGTAAACAGAGGGTGTTGCAAACAAAATTTAGCATTGTAAAACCTGTCACTCCTAGATACTCTGGAAAACAATAGTACAAATGTGTTCAGAAAGGAATTAGACAAAA